AAAAAAAAAAAAAAAAAAAGCAAGATAATGAAGAGATCAAATGAATAGTATTGAAAGCATCTCAAATTGGTAATAGTATATACAGTTCACTAATGCTCACCTATTCACGGTGAACACATGTTTAATATGTCCACCGCTTATGTGACATTCACTCATTTTTTTTTGTATTTTTTTAAACATATTAACATCACCAATATCTGCATGTCATATAAGCGGTGAACATATTAACATGTGTCCACCGTGAGTAGGGGAGCATTATCCATACATTTAGTCATGTCACAAATGTTGTTGTCTAACATTTTATAAACCATAATTTTCTTACTAAAATATACATATTAATTAAATTGGAATCGTTGTTTATATTATATTTTGAAGTATAATATTTAAATATGAACCAATGTATTCATAAGTTCCTAGGAAGTGTATAGAAAAATTCATTTAACTAATAATAAAATTTGGTCAATGGGTCACCACATTAATTCACTCATAGTCATAATACTTAATTTACAACAAATTAAATAATTAGTTTACTTTGTAGTATATCATATATACATATATATATATATATATAATATCCCATTTTGTAAAAATTATTCTTGCATGTACCAATATCACCATTAGACATACTAACTATATATTTTATTAGAATAGACTCATGTAATTAAGTACCAAAAGGCAATATCAAGCTAACCACATATATATCCTTAGCAACAAATTTATATCCGATTAACAATTACATCATCATGCAATTAGTTTTTAATTCAAAATATACATCTTGGAACTATAAAAAGTTACACGAGTCTATTTCCAACCAAAAAGAAAAAAGAAAAAAAAAAAGAGGCCATATATAAATTTCTGATTGCCATTTTTGGTAGTCTTCACACTACAGAGCTGATAATAATCACCACCCCACAACTTCACGTTTGGTTCATATCAAGAAAACATGTCCTTTTCTTTGGCCAGCTCTCTCTCTCTCTCTCTCTCTCTCTCTCTCTCTCTCTCTCTCTCTCTCACACACACACACACACACACACACACATATGCCAACCTATAGCTTACAATTTAAAGCTAGCTAGCCATTTACAAAGAAAGAAAGAAAGATGCATAAGGAGAGAGAGTGAGAGCTATAATGGTTTAAATATTGAGTTAAGAGCCTCTGACCAGCTAATTTTTTTTTTTTTTTTTTTTT